GTTTGGACAACACTTTCAGGCTCAGGGTGGATTGTTGGGGTGTCCTGGGCAGGGCAGGAGTCAGACTAATGATCCTTGTGGGTCTCGACTTCGAAGACTCAGGGTCCTCCATGATTCTATGATTATGAAAGCTGAAGCTCATTACATTTCAGTTGTGCAGACAGTGACAAACAGGTTTATCACTGTCATTGATGCTTCTGGTTTGTCTTCCTGTCTCCTTATTGTTAAAGCTCCATGATCCTTAATGTTAAACCTCCAAAAATTGTTTCTGGAGAAACAAGTTGTTTAGCTGGACTGGATTCAAGGGCCATGCCATAAAGTGACTTTCTGAGCCCTCTCTCTGTGCCTGACTGCACACTCAGGCTCACAGCAGAGGATAGAACACACCAACAACCACAACACAACATCATGGAACCACCACCAAATGTCATCAAGCAAAAATAGTCTTTATTCAAATTTCATGGAAACAGGAGTCACTGTACTTTGCAAGACAGGGAAAAAAATAAAATAAAAAAATTTTAATATAAAACAAGGATATTGTCACAATACCAGAATATGGGACTATACTTCTTTTCCCCTATAGATTACTGCAAGTACCTCTATTTTTATTATTTTTTTTTCCTTTTGACTGTGCTATTCACAACTTTGTAAGTCCAAAAAAATATGGAACAAAAGTAGTATGAAACTTAAGACTTAGCACTTCCACTAAATGGCATACATCAAAGGGCATCAGCTCGAGGGCAAAGACTGTTGAAGCCATCAGACCTACCTATCAGTCATCACTGCAATCTCCTAAACCCACCGGGGCACAGCGCTCGCTCCCTGCAAGGCCCTTCCTGGAAAACAGGGCAATTTGAGGGCTCTGGGAAGAGCTGTATTGAAAGAGAACCTTTCTGAGGGATAGAAAATGCACAGCCTCACCCCAGGGAGCATTGCAGGGAGGGAGCACTGCAGTTAGTGACAGACAGACCATCAGGGTTGTTAAAAATATACAGCATCGACAGGGTTTCTACTTCAATCACTTGGCTACAGCTACTGAACATGTACAAAAGACTTCTCCAACCATTCCAAGTGGGGCTGCAGCAAGGTTAGGACCTGGAGCGGGACCTGGACCGCGATCGAGACTGTGACCTAGAGGGAGACCTAGACCTGGACTTGGACCTTGGCTTTGAAATGGATTTTGACCTGGAGCGAGAGTCAGATTTGATATTTGGTTTGGACTTAGAAATGGACCTAGATCTGGAGTGAGACACCTCGTCCTCCCCCTCTCCCTTCGCCTCCTTGTCAGCCTCTGCTTTGAGCTGCTCCTGGTCTTTGGAGCCTGACCTGGAGCGCTCGTGGCTGTCCCTCCTCTTCCTCTTGCCACTGCCTTTGCTCTCTCTCTTGCTGCGCCTCTTGCTCTTGGCGCTCTTGCTGCGGCTCCTGCTCCTGCTGTCATCCCTGCTCCTCTTCCTACTTTTCCTCTTGTCCTTGCTGTGGCTCCTGCTCCTACTCTCCTCCCTGCTCTTGCTCCTGCTTCTAGCCTTGCTAACGCTCTTCTCCCTGTCTTTGCTGCTACTCTTCTCCTTGCTCCTGCTCCTCACGCTCTCCCTCACCTCTCCCCTGTCCTTGCTCCCACTCCTGCTCCTGCTCTTCTCCTTGCTGCGGCTCCTGCTCTTGGCTTTCTCATCATTGTTATGGAGATTGCCCTCGGACTTATCCTTGCTTTTGTTTCGGGATTTCTCTGCACTCCTGCTGCGGCTCCTACTTTTATCCTCTTTACTTGGAGTCCTGCTTTTCTCTTTTTGGCCTCTGCTACGGCTCTTGCTTCGACTACGGCTCTTGCTTCTGGATCGGGACACAGACCTGGAAGTGCAAAGGCAACAGAGAGCTCTGCTTTAGTGCCCTGTGGGTGTGAGCAGCACTGAAACAGCGTGCAGAGAACAGGAAGGAAAAGAAATAAAACAAAAGTTCCTGCTGCAAAAGGATGCTTCTCGTTTAAGTGGGAGCTCCCAATCCTCCCAACACGAGGACATACCTGGATCTTGATCTACTCTTGGAGCGGCTGCTACTGGCACTGCGGCTCCTGCTCTTGTGTGAGTGTCTGCTCCGAGAGCGAGACCTGCAACACAAGCAACCAGCTCCATGTTAGCACGTGCCCACGGGGAGCTTGTGAGCCTGGGGGAAAAACCCCACAGGGCTCAAGCACCTCTCAGCTGCCCAGTGGTTAACAGTGATAAGTCACAAACTCGGAGCACACTTCTCCCCACCTTTCATCCCTGTTGCCAGGTCTGTTAACCCTAACTGATAACCCAGGGGTTAACAGAGACAAGTCACAAACTCAGAGCACACTTCTCCCCACCTCTCATCCCTGTTGCCAGGTCTGTTAACCCTAACTGATAACCCAGGGGTTAACAGAGACAAGTCACAAACTCAGAGCACACTTCTCCCCACCTCTCATCCCTGCTGCCATGTCTGGCAGTGGGCAGGGTGCTACACCGGAAGAAAAGATGGCAGTTTATTTAAGGGATGATCACTTTCCCAATCAAATCAGTTTGGATATGGTGGGAAACTAGGTTAAAGCTTCAACTTCAGGCTTTGATTTCATAAGCAAGTTCTTCTAGGAACAGAAGAGGTTTGCCTGAGTTTTCTTGCAACAACAAGTTCTACCCCAGAATGGAAAGGGGCAAACACTTGGTGCTGCTGAAGCTCTCTGGGTCAGACAATAAAAGCAGCAAATCTCTAAGGAACAGGGAACAGGTGGGGGTGTCCAAGCTGAGAAAGAACTGTTAGTCCTCGTGCTTGGAGCAGAACACTGTGTTCAGAGCTGAGGTGTTAAAAACACCTTCTGTTTTACTCTGTGTGCACAGCTCCCCCAGCCATGGGGTGGTGAGGACTGTGGCTCAGTGTGGCTGGGGAGGTGTCAGTGCTCAGCCACACACCAAGGGAGACACCTCTGCCAGCCCTCACTGCCCTTGGTTACCAACACATTCTCAAAACACTGCATGCATTGAGAACTCTGAACATTTCCAAGGTGTTTTGGAACCCCAAAGTCCCAACCCCCTGTATGTTCATGGATGGACATACCTTGAATGGCTTCTGCTCCTGGAGTAGGAGCGGCGCCGTCTCGATCCAGGTCTGTCTTCCACTAATCTAATCTTCCTGCCATTTACTTCTGTCCCGTCCAGCTTTTCAAGGGCTCTTTTCATGTCAGAATAGGATTTGAACTCAATCACACCTTCATTTTTCCTTCCTTTGTGTGCATCTGCATATGTCACTTCCCCTGCCTGACGCATATAATCCTAGGGGAAGAGGACAGAATCACCATCGCCTCGAATCCAGAGCCAGGCTCCCAGGCTGACCCTGCTCACTGCTGCAAGGATGCTCCCCTAGCCTCTTCTAGTCACAGGGGTGTCAGCAAGGCTTTGAATCAAACAGCATTTGCAGTGCCAAGTAACACACTACGGTTTCACAGAGTTGGTGTGATTAGAACCAAGGTGGGGTTAATAGTTTTGAGCCAAATGATAACTGAAGGGCTCTCACCTCGAGACTAATGTCAAATATGCTCTGGACTCTGAGTTTCAAATCACAGGAGTGACTAAAGAAAGGTAATGCTCCCTCTCATGTTTTCAGAGGTAATTGGGAAAGGTGATAAAGGCTGAATATGAAGGGACAAGAAGCCTACAGGCAAACTACAGACCTCCCTGTGTCCTCCACCTCGGCAACACAGCTCATTCTGCTGGAAGAGACCTCACAGGAGTCAAAGCTCACTTCATTTTTCCCACTTCATGCTTCCTGGCTTCTCCATTACAATTCCTAACCCCCCCAGTTTATCAGGAGGGGCTGTTCTGCCCTGCTTCAAGCAAGCCACCAGGCCAGGCCATCCTTCAGCCCCTGGGGAACTTGACTGCAATGGAAACAGGGCACAGAGCTCTGGTTTGGTCTGTTTCCAACCCAGCTACTCCCCTCTTCAGTACACTGAAATGAAAGCTATTCCCCCAAAAAAGCAGCAATGCATCCATTGGAGGATTAATCATGCCATGCTCTACTTACAATTCTGAATACCAGAAGCAAAGAGAAGCTATGGATGGGGTGAAGCATTACCAGCAAAGACATTGGAAGCATCTCAGTACGTACCTGAACTAGTGTTACACATTCAATTACAGACCAGTTTCTACTACGTCAAAGTTTGTTTAGAACAAATTTACACATCCTTAAAAGAGAACCATAAAAGAAGGTGTTCCTGTAAGAACAAGTGGGTTTAACCATTGCTGCTCAGTTTGATAAGGAAACACTAATCTTTTTCTGTGCACCTGCTGTTGCAGTGCTGCTCCCTGTCCTGCCCCCTCCATCCATGATGTGGATAATCAGGAGCCAACAAGTCACCTCCAGTGCACTCAGAGGTACCACAGTGTCACCCAACACTTCCACTGCTGAGAATCACCTTCCACTCCTCTGGGCTCAGAAAATAACAGCTTTTGGCAGGGGGTTTGCATGATTTCTCATTCTGGAAGCAATCCCTTTCCTTGCAAGTCTCTTTAAAGCAGCTTTAGATGGTGTGGAAATTCCTAGCAGTGCCTGTGCAGGAACGACGCTATTGTTTCAAACACAACTTATTGAGTGAAATCCAAAGTGACAAGGGCAAACTCCTCCACCTCTAGTGAATTCTACCCCTGGTGTGATTCAAGTCTGTTTTGACAGGGCTTAAAGAGAAGACAAAACACAGCTCTACGTGGTGTTGGCTGGTGTTAAGGATAAAACCTCTTCTCCCACTGCCCAGTGCCACCAGCACCTCACCAGTGCTGCAACACGTGCAAATATCCTCCTGTACTGACTTGGGGTGTGGATTGCTCCCCAGATCTCGTGTGCACAGGAGCACAGGGAGTTGCCCACGGGGGAAGCACAGGGGGGCACACCAGCCTGCCCTGCTGATGCTGAGGTTTACCCTTGGTGCTCTGTGACAGAGGGAGGGTGAGGAAAGGGCCCCCATACCTTCAGATCCTGCCAACTGCAGCGGCTCGACAAATTTTCCACAATCAATCTGTATTCTGTACGGGTGGGAGGACCATACTTATCTCTTCCGCTTCTTCTATAACCATATCCACCTTTAGGAGGTGACAAGCAGACAGGAGTACTTCAACCAGGGAAATGGAGCCTCACTCAGCACCCCAAGCACAGCTCCTCAGCCCCAGATGTCCCCAAAGACATCCCAGACCCACCCACCCCCTAGCCTGAACCCAACCCCCTCACAGATAATACTACAAAGCCCCAAACATTACAACTGTTTTGCTACAAGCACATAATTAAACAAGGCACAGAGTTCTAATTATACTCAACATGCAATTAAATTTAATGCTACTTTTAAAACAGTTTGAAAGCAGCAACTGAATCGAAGGCAGTTGACTAATGTTACTTATATTGCTTTAAAGGCTTTTTGAATACCTGACATGAATAAAGCTTTTCAGGCACCTGAGATTAATTTCATCTGTCTCTAACCCTTGGGATCCTCACCACCCAGGTCTAAAGGTCGTCACATGGCTTCCTTTATTTTTTGGTCAGCCAAGGGCCACAAAGGTCAGAGAGCCACTCATGGAAAGGCACCCCAAGGTCAGCAAATGGAACGGGAAGTCATCTTAGCCTCAAAGGACTCTTTCAATTAAAACATTAAGGTCTTTGTTAAGCCTATGTTAAACATCACGTTGCAAAGCAAACCATTCAAAAACTTAAATGAAATGATAGTAATAGAAATAGTACAAGAAACTGTGTTTATTCATGTATCAGTTAAAATAGTTTAATACAACAGGCAAATAAAAACCCCAAACAACCGTTCAGGTCAACAGTTACAGTTACAGAGCACTAGGCACAACTTGGTACTGTGGTTCGGTTTCAATCGCTTTCCAAAAGTGAACTTAAAGGAAACAAACGAGGTGTTTTATTTCACATGAGCCACGGATACAAATGCATGGAGTGCTTACTGCGTCCTGAACCGTAACTGCTGTCCCTGCGAGGGCCTCGGGCGTGTTCCACGATCACTCTCTCCCCACACAGGTCCTTCCCGTTCAGCTCGTACACGGCATCGTCCGCGTCCCGCAGGTCGTCAAACTCCACAAAGCCGTACCTGGCAGAGAGAGAGCACAGGCTCACTGGGGAACCATGGAGCTGTCTGTGCTCCAAACCTGTCACACCTCAGCACGGGCCCTGAGAAGCAAAGCGAGCAGCCCTAAGTGGGAGGTCCTGTGGCTGAGCCTCCTGAGGGTACCTGGGGGCTCCAGGCTGTGCAAAAGAATGGATAAAACTAAAAAGCCACTAAAAACCAGATTGAGAGAAGTAGGAAGAAGGCCTGAAAAGCCATTTCCTGATTTCTATAGAATTCCGTGTCTTTCAGAAAGGAAACAGGTGTGAATGGAAACCAAGGTCATTCCTCATCAGTAAAGTGATCAGAGAATCAGAGAATCAAACAGGTTGGAAAAGACCTCCAAGATCATCAAGTCCAACCCTACTGTGGTCACTAGACCATGGCACTAAGTGCCACATCCAGTCTCAGCTTGAAAACCTCCAGGGATGGTGAATCCACCACCCCCCTGGGCAGCACATTCCAATGCCTGAGCACTCTCTCTGTAAAAAATCTCTTCCTAATATCCAACCTAACCCTCCCCTGGCAGAGCTTGAGTCTGTGCCCTCTTGTCCTGCTGCTGGTTGCCTGGGAGAAGAGACCAACCCCCCCCTGACTCCAACCTCCTGTCAGGGAGTTGCAGAGGGTGCTAAGGTCTCCCCTGAGCCTTCTCTTCTCCAGGCTGAACACCCCCAACTCCCTCAGCCTCTCCTCATGGCACTTGTGCTCCAGTCCCTTCCCCAGCCTCGTTGCTCTTCTCTGGACCTGCTGCAGCACCTCAATGTCCCTCCTGAGCTGAGGGGCCCAGATCATGTGAGGGAGCAATGGTTGAACTGAATTCATTCATGTTAACAAGAGATTACTGCTGTGGAGTCACCTTTGATGGAATTCAGGGTGTTCGAAAACATCTGGAACAAATCCCTTTTTTTTTTTAATAGCTCCTTTTCAGCACCAAAGGGGCTCCAAGAGAGCTGGAGAGAGACTATTTACCAGGACATGGAGTGCCAGGACAATGGGAATGGCTTCCCAGTGCCATTGGGCAGAGTGAGATGGGATATTGGGAAGAATTTGTTCCCTGTGAGGTGCTGAGGCACTGGCACAGGTTGCCCAGAGAAGCTGTGGCTGCTCCATCCCTGGGACTGTTCCAGGCTGGATGGGGCTTGGAGCAACCTGGGCTGGTGAAGTGTCCCTGCCCATGGCAGAGGGTTGGAACTAGGTGTTCTTTAAGGTTCCTTCCAACTCAAACCACTTCTCTTTGGGCTGCAAATACAGACTCTGAACAGAGCTAGATGGAAGAGTGGTAGATTGAAGCTTTGATCTGTGTTCCTCAATCCACTGGAGAGGTTAGACCCCTCTGTCCTGCAGGAATTGTATGAGGATGCAGCCATGCATTCTCCAAAGATGCAGGAGGTAAGTGCACAGGTAGAACTACTTTTTTAGCATGATTACAGATTGCTTTCCTCACGACTGAAAGTTTGCAGCTCTCCGAGACATCACTGGTAGCTTTTAGTGTGTTTACTGATGATAAAAAAGGCTGAAAAGTCCACTTTTCTGGTCACTTAGCCCATTGACTACACACACCACAGCTCTGTCAGTGCAGCTCCGAGTGGGAGAGGAGAACATTCAACACTTCAAAGTGGGATGGAGAATCCTACAGGACCTGCATTTCCCCATCCTGCCCTCAGGTAAGCTTTGCTTTGAGCTCCTCAATTCCGAGCTGCAATTACAATCAGTGAGCTCAGCTGAGCTTCCAGGGCCCTGCATTCCATCCATCCCATTGCATTCCATCCCCACACTCCATTATTCCAGCTTAGCTGCTCCCCCAGGGCTAATCCACCCAGGAGAGCCCCCAAAATTCCAGCAGCAACTGTGAGAATCTCTCCAGTCAAACCCCACGCAGGAGTTTTTAATGGTTTGCTAAGCACTGCTAAAAATAAGCCCTGGAGGAAGGCTCAGCTTGGGCTGTCCCAACACACACACACAGAACCTGATTGATTGCTCAAGGACATCTTTGAGCAAGAAACTGAACTGCAAACCAACGGTCTGTGAAAGAACTGGGGAATATACAACTAAAAAGGGAATTAAGTTGTTGAATTAGTCCTAGAAATGCAGGTTGGCTCTGCCTGAGCCACAGCTGGAGCAGCAAACACCAAGGTGAGGTGTAACTATTATATTATTTTCATTTCCCTCTTCACGTTATTCTGTTGTAACTTTTAAACTCTCCTCAGAGGAAAGCTACAAACTCCAGCTCCGGAATAAAGCGTATCCCAGAGAGAGCACCTGGATTTGGGATACAGGCTGTGCCCTGCTCCCCTCTCCACCTGTTCACACTCAGATGCCACAAGTTTGGGCTGCTCAAGCTCAGCCCTAAGGCACCTCCTGCACCCACAGCAGCTCCCTGCAAACACTTCCTAAACACCAGGCTAGGATCTTCCTGGCATCCTCAGCAGATATTTTCCAATAAAAACAAGGAGACAAAGCCCTTGGCCACATCAGCCACAACACTCTGCAGTTCTGCATCTGCTGACAAAGTTCAATTGGTGTTTTTTTTCCCCCTCCCAACATGTATGAACTAGAAATAGTGAATCTGTAGGCTCACTCAGCAACAGGAAAACTGATCCCCAAACACTTCCAAGGATACACAGCAGGACTGGAAAATAGCACACTTAGCTATCTCAACTCATCTCCAACATCACCTGAGGCTGTGTTGGTTAAAACACTGACACCTGCACACTTGTTTGCTTTAATAATTGATTTTATTCATCTTCTAAACCTGCTCTGTGTCCTCCTGCCTGCACAACCAGCATTAAACCTTAATGGGCCTCTTTGACTCTGATCCTCAAGGACTAACTCGTACACGGAATTCCTCTTCTCCACTTCTAAGGTGGAATTTACACCTGGATCTCCTGTATAATAGTAATAAAAATCCCTATTCCACTCAGCCTTCCTAAGCAAGACCTCAAGTTAGGTTTCTTGGAAAAAAGTAAAGGCTCCAACACACTCATGAGGGGAGAAAAAAACCCACCCGAAAAGAGCAACTTGTTTTCTCTTGAAAAATCCACACTGCAATGTCCTGGGCAGGTCCTGGTGCAGCAGGATCTGACCTCTGGAACAGCACAGGGGGAACACACAGGTACAGTGGGTTTTGGGGGGGCAGGACACTCCCCTCATGGGCAGCCTGGGGGCTGCAAAGGGGTTTCTGCCCCCCTCAAACCACTGGGATTTGTTTTGGGGGTGTTATCCTGGGGTGCTCCTTGGCTCACCCTTGGGTGCTCAGCCTGGGGTGCAAAGGGGCCTGGACCCTCCTCCCCCCTCTAATAAAGGCTCAGGAGTGCTGCCCCCAAAAAAGGGGAGCCCAGACACCCTGTGCTCCCCAAAAGGAAGACCCCCAGGCATCCTCCCCCAGCTCTAATAAAGACCCAAGTGTCCTGTCCCCTCCAGGGGGGTAACTCAAGCATCCTGCACCCCCAGAGGGAGAACCCACCCATTCTGTACCCCCCAATACAGGCCCAGGCATCCTATCCCCCCAAAACAGGGACCCAAGGTGTCCTACCCCCTATTAAAGGCCCAGGTGTCCTGTCCCCTCCAAGGGGGCAACCCAAGGTGTCCTGCACCTCTCACCCTTCTCAAAGGGTAAAGCCACTCATCCTGTACCCCCAAAAGGAAGACCCCAGATGTCCCATCCCACCCTGTTCCATCTTGTCCCATCTATTTCACCCCATCCCATCTCATCCTGTCCTATCCCATCCTGTCCTGTCTATTCCAGTCTCATCCAATCTATTCCCAACCCATCCCTTCCCATCCCATGCCATCCCCTCCTATCCATTCCAGTCTCATCCATTCCATCCCATCCCATCCTGCCCTATCCATTCCTGTCCTGTCTATTCCAGTCTCATCCAATCCATTCCCAACCCATCCCTCCCCATCCCATGCCATCCCGTCCTATCCATTCCAGTCTCATCCATTTCCACCCCATCCTCCCTCACCTCCAATAAAGACCCAACTGTCCTACCCCTCCAGGGGGGTAACCCAGGCCTCCCACAGCCCCCAAAAGAGACATTCCAGACGTCCTGCCCCCCCTTATTCCCCCCCACGCCAAAACCCTCCTGTCCTGTACCCCCCATAGACACCCCATCCCACCCCGTTCCCATGG